GAGAGAGAGAGAGAGAGAGAGAGAATAATCGCATGTGTATGCGCGCGTGTAGTGAGTTGATCGTCGCGAAGGTTCCGTCTACGTCGGACAGTAAGTTGCGCCACTCCTGTCTGCTTTCCCTACACGTACCGTAATTTGATATTTCTTATTATAATTTGAAAACTAAGCTTCGGACAAAATTTTGGTAAAGAAAAAATCATCTCACAATTAAGTCAGGAATATGGCATTTTAAGAACAAACGTTTATTTTGAATCACCCTTATGTAAAAATCGTCGACAAAACAGCAACACTATGGAATTCGACCGTCGTGTCAGCATCCTCTTTATTTTATAAAATGGATAATATCAGTACAAAATTTTTTTTAAAGGTAAAAGAGGTGACAAGTTTATGCGCTTGAGCTTAAAAAAAATTGTTGTATCAAAATTTATACATGTACTGTGACCCTTTTTTTCATTGTAATAAGGGTTTTTTACAAATCTATTTTTTTAGATTTTTGTTTAATAATAAAAATGTTTGCCGTTGTTACATTTGACGATGCCAGTACGTCCGAGGTACCGACTAATTGGCTTATTGATGAAGAAGATGGATCAAGCTGTTGGTGGCCTCCTTCTAATACTAAAAATTTATCAACTCTGATATCAAAACGTGTTGACCCGATTAAATCAACCTGGCAAAAATTGAATGTAATCATGGAAAGAACTTGTGGTATGAAAATCTTACACATATTCTTACATATGAGAGATTATTAGTCAGAGGAACCAATAAAAAAATTTTTACATACTGTTATACATAATATTATCTATTATATATAGACACACTTGAGAAAGCTCGAAAGGTGGCAGAGGATTCTCAATACACAAGTGTAGATGAAGAAAATCTAGGTAGAGGACGTCGTAAACGGTTTTCAAAGAAATTATACATATATGATACTGACGAGGATTCTAGGTCAGATCAAACAATATCTCAACAACGATCGAATAAAAAGAAATTAGGTATTTATCACGTAATTATTTATATCATATTACATAAATTTTTAAACTTATATATTTAAATTAATGAAATGAAATAATATTATAGAGAATAAATTGCCCACATTTCCGAAAGATTTCCAATTGAGTGCAGATGAATCGAGCGACAGTGCTATTTCAAAAATTAATATTCCAGTACCAAAGAAGATTTCTCAACAATTGAATAAAAAGAAATCAAGTATTTATCACGTAATTACCAATATATATATAACGTTTAAATTTACATTTAAAATAATGAAATAAAAATATTATAGAGAATAAAGTGTCCAATTTTCCGGAAGATTTTCAATTAACTGAATCAAATAACAATGCTGTTTCAAAAGTTAATATTTCAATACCAAACATAATATAATTTAAAAGCACAGATATCTCAACAAAGATCGAATAAAAAAAAATCAGGTATTGATATGTATAATCACGAAATTACATACTATATTAATTACGTTCAAATTTACATTCAAAATAATAAAATAAAAATACTATAAAGAATAAAATTAATTTTCCGAAAGGTTTTCAGTTGACTGCAGATGAATCTAGCGACAGTGCTTCTTCAAATGTTAATATTTCAATACCAAACAATAATAATTTAAAAGTAATTCCTCAAAGTCATTGTTCAGTATCAAATATTTCAGATGATGACATACAATTAATTGTGAAACATTTTGATCGTAAGTAAAATTAAGCATAATAATAAGAGAAATTTTTTTTTAAATTGTAATATCCATATTTTCTCATTCTGTTTTTTTAGACAAACTTACCAAATTAATAAGAATAACTTCTAAAATTGATGTCGAATTATCTGATTTGAAACAACGAGTAGATCGTATAACTCCGTTTACTAGAGTATCTGGACCATCAGAAAAGGCAAGGAATGCATTACCGCTAAAATCTATTGACGAAATAAAGGAATTTAATCAAAATTTGTCGGAAGATGAAATGCAATCTCAATATAAGTGAATTTTAAAATTATATGTTTTCTATTAAATTAAGCAACGAACAAATTTTACTGTGTTTTTTTATTGAGTTTAAGTCAAGGCATACAAG